CTTCCTCGATTGAGAGCACGCAGAAAGGGCGGGGTAGTAGGCGAAATGAGATAATTGGGACCCCCTCCCCCCGCCTCTACCAAAGTCTTTGATTGGACGTGCAGGAAAGTTGCGTGACTCACGATGAGGGCCACTTGTACGCTTTTGTAATCATGGTAATGAACGACAAGCCTAGTAATTTATCTGAAGTTACCGGGTTTGATTCCAATTGCCGCCACTAATATTAACATTGAAAAGAAACACGTTTGAAAGCGTATTGAGAACTTGTCACCTGAAGACTGGAACGGAGCCAGTTCCCGAAACGTCGTGTATCAAATACAGCTCATACAGTGGACAGTGTCTGGTTTTTATGACAAAGCCTTGCTGTTGTTAACGTCTAATGTTCATCTGTTAAAAAATGTGTTAACTAATAGGGCGTTAGAAATCCAGGTGACTTGTTATGGGGTTGGCCCTTTTGAAAAAACACATTACAGTTCGCCGCTGGCCGTCAAAATTCTGCCAACCATTCACAAAGTCCCTTTGCCACTCGGCGTTGTATGACGTGTGTAGTTCAGAAAGCGCCATTACACACCACGGGGGAGGGGGACGTGAATTTCTGATCTGTCAGCCTTTGAAATTTTCAAGGTCATTCGCCAGTCATTTTATTTAAACGCACATTTCTCCCGACCTGTATGAAACTGAATGAACACATTCCTGTCAGTTTGAGGTCATAGATAGGTCAACGCCACTTCTAGATCACGACAAGACCAGTCTAAGGTTTTGAGGAGTACAGGCCTGTAAATTTTGCAAGCTCACTACATGAGAATTTTTTCTCACGCTTATATTTACGTAACTGCTTTAATATGTGTGACCATACTCACATGCCACTTGCACCATAATGAAATCCTGTGACCTGTCTTGTAACCCTGAAAATAAAGGAGGTCGCGTCAGAGGGTTTCGCCCTGCTCGGCCCCGAAGTGGACAGAAATGTTGCTCGCGTTTTGATTCTCTCTGTCTGTCTGTCTGTTACAGACCTCCTGCCGACTGCAGACCGCTTCACCGACGCTGGAGTATCGGCGTTCGACCAGCTTCTTTTCGACGTCTTGAGGGACCAAGTCGTCGTGGGAGCCAGGTGAGTTGGTCGAAGCAGGGTGCCCCGTGCTGTCCCCCCAGTCACTGTACGACGTGTCCAAGGACGCAAATGGAGTTTATTCTGAAATCTGTGCCTCGAAACGCGAGAACCAAAAAATATGTGCTTGTGGGTTGTGACGCCTTCGGACTGATAGGCAGACACCGACGTTCCGAGGGGAGCTGCTGTTTCCATCTTCAGGGCTGAGCGTACTGTTCTAGACTCTGTGGAGATGGTCTGAAGGGAGGGTAGCTGCTAGTACAACCTGGTCGCTTCTGAATGACCGCGTTCCTGGGGCGTGTCTGCACGTTCCTCAGCCGTCTTGTGGCAGTAACAATTGTTCATCGCAGTGCAAAGACGGCTTTCTTTTAAAACTACTTAGTTTTGTTTTGCTTTGTTTATTTTTATTACTTTTGTTTCCTGTCTGGTTTTCTTTTCTGTGTCTTCGCTTGTCATTTTCTTGGTTCAGCTCTGGCCTCTTTTCTGTATTCGCCGCACGTCCAACCTCTCGCTTCCAGTTGCATTCTGGCTTCGACTCGCTGTCGGAGCTCGTTTTAAGCCGCGACGCGACAGCGAACACCCGTCTCGTTCAAGGCACCGTGTATTAGTTGTTTGTTTAACGACGCTGTCAGTAGCTCAGATAATATGTGTAGTTCCGACTGGCAGGATGATTAGTGAATGACAAATCAGAAACTGTTTGATGCAATGGTCTTCCGGTTGGACGTTTTCCTACAGATGTTCCACACAAAATTCCAAGCCGTCTCCCCATTTGTGTCGTTTGTGGCTGAACTCATCTCATCTGTCTGTGTCCGCAGTCGGTGAACACGCAAAAGTGGGCCCTAGCCTGGGGGGCTTCGAACTGTGCCCCAGTTGGGGCCTGCTGTGTCATTTCTGAGCGTAAGACAAAGGACTCTCGTCAGTTCACTACCCCGCCCCCGTGAGCGTAGGCCGTAGGAACTGCCTTGTGTGTGGCGCGGCCTACGAGCGAAAGAAATTAACATACGGGTTCATCGTCTGCCCTCAGAACGCACGAACGTCGTAACGCAGTAATAGCTGTACTCCTTTGGAGTACACACATTTGGTTCATTGGTCTTGGGGTGAGGTTTCAGGTTCTCACGGCGAAGAGTGTGAACACGGCTGTCATCTGAATGTTTTACCGCGTCGTCTGGTGGATGTTTTCCGACGATTCAGAGAATACTACTGCCTCCATGGTCAGGGTTATTAGTAACGAGGAAGAGTAGTAACACCCCGTGTTTTGTTCTGATTCTCGGAGTTTCTCCACCACATGCGTCGCGTGGCAGCGCTGGTTGTCCGGAATATGTGGGTCAAGGCAGGACGTGGATGTAATTTGGCCGGAAGGCATCTTGCTGAGCCTCGCCGAAGGTCTCAGTATTAGGATCTATTGCCATTCAGAATAATTTCGCAGAAACGCGCGCGTCTGTACAAACAACGAAGCAAAATTTCCCCCCCCCCCCCCC